AATAATATGAACGATTTAACTTGTGTTTCATTTAAACTTTTAGTTACACTGTCTTAAAAGTTTGCAGATCAATGCTATTTCATTAAGTATTACCCGGTATTTATTATAAATATTACAGAGCACTTTAATATTTAACTCTTAAAACTATCATATTTTCTTAGCCTGTCACTAGATAATCAAAATCCTGATGAATAATATAATACCATACTAAAAGGAATTCACGGAATAGATAAAAAGATTAAATATAAATAAAGTAAAACTGAAGTGAAGTGAAAAGTAAAGAAACTCACAATACAAACAGTCAGCTGAATCAGTCAAAGAACAGAATTGATAATAGGATCAAAAAGATTTTAAGTGTAACGAAGTGTGCTAAAAATATTTGATAAATAAACACACATTCAATTAAAATAACTCTACAAAAATATAAACAGCTAACAATAGTATTCTTAAAAAAAGGAATTATGAAAGGTAGACCAGAGGGAGACTTTGTACAAAAGTCGATTGCTTGGGCACCTCTGTCCCATTCGTGTTTCAACCGTGAAGCAGTTGTGTTTGCATAGCTGTGTTTCGGTTTGAAATATGGCGTGAATTTACAGGGTACAGAGGAATAACACCTGAGTCCTCAGAATGGCAACGGGGGTATCATGGGCGAAACAGTATACTCTGTTATGTCCATTGATTAATCAGGTGGGCCGTCAGCTTGTTTGCCATTCTAAGTTGTATAAATAAATAAATAAAAATAAATCTTGGATTTGATTAAAACACGCAAAGAGAAAAAGCACAGTAATACGTGTATGTAGAGGTAAAATTGTTAAAATTACATTTATATATAAATTTTATAAATCTCTTTATTCAGATAATTTAATACCCAAAAATTTCGTAGAGTATTCGTTGTGAGATACCTATATAACCTGTGATGAGGTTCACAAATTGAATATTGAGTTATCTAATGCAAAAATAATTTTTCGAATCAGACTGTCAATTCTAGAGGTTTTCGCGCTCAAACAAACATACAAACAAATTCTTCCGCCTTATTAATGTAGATGAACAAATTATGAAAGTGATTACAGCATATATTACTTCATTTTCTTCCTTCATCTACTATAGAGTGGTGACTACTATATAGTAAAGTGAAACTCTGGTTGTGTTTTTCCAACCACATACAATCTATACTTATTAAAGACAAATGTGTATAAGCTATTCTATTTCATTATAAAGTAAAAATGTATCAAGTTCATTTTCCATGTCTATAAATATAAAGTAAAAGAGAATCAAGAAATACATCATAAGATCCCTAAAGACTTTGGGCCTTAACAGAAAGTTGCAATTACAAAAGATAAAACTTCGGTTAAATTATTCATTAGAAATGACGAATGTAGTTTTACACACATAGTCTTCAAAACACACACACATACCACACACTTCTAAATCGTTACAAAAGTGAAGATATTATTGACATTATCAATGTAAAAGTGTGTTTTATTGTTGATAGTTCCATATCATGAACCATTACGTTTGTAGGTGCCTAGTATTTTAGAAGAATAGCTCTTTATCTTTATATATTGGGCGAAGTCTCTAGGAATCAAATCAGCCGTTAACTGTCCACTGTTGGACATAGCCTTTTGGGGAGGTTTTGCCAATAGGCTTCGGTGAAAAGTTTCTAAGAATAAATACTAATTAATATCATGATCTTCACTAATTGTTTTTATTTATAATTAAGAATAAACTAAAATATTATTTCATTGAAAGTGTATATTTGCTTAAAACATTTCATTTACCATTACAACGACATTTATCTACCGAATTTCATCTCATATGTGCACCAGTGAATTACAGCAAAGAATAATCTATATATAAATACGCGATTCTGCGTTCTAAATTCGAATATTTTTAATGTAACGTCTCTATAAAACAGCGTCACCAATTGGTGCATGTGTTCATGATTGAAATAGAAAAGCAAAATATTTGTATGTTTTTTTATTTATGTCAACAGTTTCATGACAACGTACCATACTAATAAAGCACCCCTCTTTTATGGTTGTGGTAGTTTTATTATATCAGATCATCAGTGAAGGCGTGCCGTTGTGGGGACTGAGATGGAAAAGATAATGAATGGCCGTCCCCCGAGTATCCAGTTGTTTATGATTCAGTCAGTATATAGGGAATGGTGCGTGATTTATTAGTTGTTAATATTATATGATTATCTTATTCATATAATACATTCAGTAATAGATTAGTAGCGTTATTAAATAAAATAATAACTTAAGATTATTACGAACAAAAAAAATATTTCAATCTGATTAGGCACCAACACGGAAAAAAACATTCATGTTTTTGATTCGAAACTAATTTAATAATCTCTGCATAATTGCTAATTAAAATTAATATGGAATTATATAGCTCGAAAAACCGACCACGTTTCAGTGAATGCAGGTAGCTCAAGACCGTTCCTTATGAGATAGTCTACGGAGAAGACCTATGTTCAGCAATGGGTAGATAACGCCTGATATGATAATGATGATGATGAATACTTAATTAATACTATCTCTAATATTAAAAGCTTAATCCATTATCTAAAGAAGTGCAACAAAAAATTAATTTATTGATTTTATAATTTTTTATTTCCTTTTTATAAAAATATTTATCTCTCATTCTCTGTATACCCAAAAGAAAAAGATAGCAAATATGTATTATACTACTTATTTGTTATCTCTTGCAACCTCTTCTCTAGTTTAGAACATTCTGTACGATATTTCGAAAGCTTTTCCAATAAACATTCTTTTTTTAACTGTAAGAATAACATAACTAGATTGATATGCCGGTATGCGTCTTACCACCACACTACTGAATTAAAAAAGAATTATAAATAATCTTGATAATCTGTATCATTCTTTGAAGTGAATAATGAAGAATTTTCATTCATTCATTCGTTCATTCATAAACAACATTGAAAACTAGCTATGAAGCCCCATCTAAAAGTTAAAGTAAAAAGACAACACTTTTTCTCAATATTACATCCTATTAATAAAGTAAAAGTTTAGAGCGTGCACTTTACAATAAATTATAAATACAGTTTTATAACCATAAAATAAAATTCAATTACCCTTAGGTTGTCTTGAAAAGATCGCCTTTCTGTCTTTATACAATTGTATCGTTATATTTATTATCTTGCTTATTTCCTACATTGTATAATACAAATAAAGTATACTCATTCATTTATTCATTTAAATTTCAATCTTCAAAACTATATATCTATAAAACTTTATTAATCTATGGAATTTATAAAAATCTTAATACAAAATTACTACAATGCCTATAGAAAATAATTCCATCAAATATCTTACAACTTTAAGCAATGAATTTTCAAAGGCCTTGAAACACTTGATGCCTTGATTAATTTCTCAATTTTAACAAATGACACGATCACTTCCGTATGAATATCTAACCCTTATTTCAGACAATAAGTGGCTGAGAGCAAAAGCTCAACGAGATGTCAAGGTAGGGTAAATGTCCGCATATTTGTATAAAACGTTATACGCAGTATATATTATACTAAAAGTATTGTAATTTTAAGTAGTTGCGTCGCAATTTTTCAAGAATAAAACAACGATCAACATTCAACGAACGATCAACATTTCTAGTTTTATCAACTTTTTTTTTTTCAAATAAAACCAAATTTTAGTTTTGTAGCAATCTATACGATTGCTATTATATAGTCACCACATTGCTGATATTTTATTAAATCATATAATTTATTCAACTTTAATTCACAACAGCATTTAAAAATATAACATGAAAAAAAAATCCTTTAACATTATTTAATTCTGTGCTTTATAATCAACTAATGGAACAACATTTTTGATAATTCTTCCTTATTGCTTATTCTACGTAGGTATTAAAGTAAGGCTAAAATACTGTAATGTACAATATAATCCTAATTTCATGTTTCTTCACTTCAGTATAATAATTAATAAATGCTTTACTGTAATAAATCTGCTAGTCAATTATGATTAAGTACTCGGTATAATATCGATGAAGCGGTATCATCTGGGCTGTATATTTTACTATAGTAAAATATAGTTTCTAGTCATTACTGGTATCATTAAACATAATCGACCGACTTCAAAAATAATGAGTTCTCGTAACTTCGCAGAAAAAAAAAATTATCTAAAAGGATATACTTACAAATAAATCCTATAGCAATTTTAACCAAATCGGTTTAGTAGTTTAGTATTTCGATCAGTTAATTACACGTCCACAATTAACTAGGGATCCAACTGTCACTTTGAGGGGGAAAGGGATTGTTAGCAATGGAGTTTGACAGCCCCATTGCTAGCAATATGCCCTATTAGGTCGACCTCCACGTGGTTCCCCCTGGAAACCATCGTATACAATTCTTGATGAATTCGTCACGATGGGCCAACTGACCTGCTTCATCCTCACCTATCATCCTTCACTGGTGCCCCGCCAGCGTATCCTGATAGCGCAGGCGGGGTTACCATTCCATTATCACCCATTAAAAAAAAAATAACTATCACTTTGATACCTAGTTAATTCAATTTTTATCTAGTAACTCGTACGAGCACTCTTATATTCTGCATATAAAATTTGTGTAAGTACGATGTCATTGTCTTCGTCACTTTCAGTGTACAAAAATCTCAAAAAAAAAATACGAAGAAAAAAGCTCATGTGGCGATGACGCTAACTATTGTTATTTTATAGCGAGGTGGCTGTTTTCCGCGGCCAAAGATCTTGACAAACTTTCACATTTAATATGTTATTAGTAGCATTATTTAAGTATGTAAAAACTAGACATAACTCGATGACATTTCTGATCAACGACTTCCTTACCACTTTCAAGTTTTCGTGTTTAAAAGCCGATATATTTCATCCACGGTACATCTTATATAGCTATCAGCTAATATGATACCTCAGTTTACTAGGATAAATGCTACATTCCAATGACAACTTTTTGTAAAACGTATTCATTTATTTTTCAGGTGTTCATAAAATCTGAATTGAAAGTTGGTGTCATCTACGTCAAGGAGAGCCAGTACACTGAAGAAGAAATTCTGGACAATAACGAAAACTCGCCAATGTTTGATGAATTTCTACAAGTGTTAGGGGATAAAGTTCGACTTAAAGGTATATAAGTATTATAAATAACAGTATAAATATAAGTGGTATAAATAACAGTAGCTATATCTCGTGTCTTCGCTTGCGTGAATCAGTACATAAACTATCCTATATGCTAAGTATAACCTACCCATGTACCAAATTTCATTCTAATCCATTCAGTAGATTTTGCGTGAAAAAGTAACAAAATATCCATCCATCCATCCATTCTTACAAACTTTCGCATTAATAATACTAATAGGATTATATGTTACTCAATGATTTTTTTTATCTACAATCTTTTTTTTTTTTTATTTAAACATCAAATGTGATATCATGTCATATTCATGTTAAAATAATAAATCAAGTCTAGAAAAATATTTTTTATCATTATAAACCAATACTACTCGAGTAATTTATCTTGTTAATCCCAACCACCCGACTATAATAAATATTTTTTTCTGGAATCAAGCCATTACTGCTACGTTCCATGGAAAGTATGTAATAAATTCGAGGAACTGGCATTATATTATGTTTTATAAAATAATAAAATGGAATTACGATCGAAACTCTATCCAGGAAATCCATCCAATTAAATAGTAATATCACAGAATACCGTGAATCAATTTACGGGAATATTACAGGTTTTGATAAATACAAAGGCGGTCTCGATACGGTACACGATCTGACGGGCCTCTATTCAGTCTACACCAACTGGAGAGGTATAGAGATCATGTTTCACGTCTCCACGCTCCTGCCTTATGAAAGACACGACCCTCAAAAACTGCAGAGGAAACGTCATATAGGAAATGATATAGTGTGCGTGGTATTCTTAGAAGCTGATAACACCGCCTTCTCGCCAGCCTGCATAAAAAGCCATTTCTTACATACTTTTATATTAGGTAAGTAAATAAATATTTTTTTTTACTTTTTAGTGGATATTATAAACACTACAGTACTACCATTATTTTTTCCAATAACAACACCACTATTGCCTGTAATAAGCATGGTGAAATATGTGTTACAATATATATATTTCTAAGTATGAATATATACTTGTACACAAGTTCATTTAAAATGTTTATTATAAACAATAAATAAGTTTTATTCTGTAAAATTACATTTACAAGTTTAAAATTAGTTTTCTTTTAACATATAAATTTTATAAATACTGATTATGTTTCGATATTCTCTTACAGTTAGGGTATCAGCTAAAATAAAACGAAGACCAACTAGATACGAAGTGTCGGTGGTGACTCGCGACGAAGTTGGCGCGTATAAGCCCTATTTATGGGAGCAAAGTGTCTTTGATAAAGGACCTATGTTCAGGTATATATCGCTTAGTTTATATAAAAATAACTAACTATATGTCTGAGTGTTGATGGAATAAAAATATGTAATATGTTTCCTCTTCTTGACATCCATAACATCATAAGAGATGAATAAAAAAACAACTATAAACCAGTGCCATCAGCTAATGAAGAAAAGCTCTTAAATAAAATCCATTACTAAACTAAAAGTCAACATGGTGATAGTAATCTATATTTTCCTTTTATTAAGCAATAAAAAAGAAACATATGTTAAAATATTACGAGCTTCTAACCCCAACGTGTTAGGTTATATCTTAATGACTCAATTAAGACAAGTCTTTGTATTTCTATATTTGTTCTATTAGAATAATGGCATATTTATTCACTTTTCAGAGAATGGCTGCTTACAAAGATAGTGAATGGAGAGAGAGCTTCATACTCAGCGCCCAAATTTGCCAGGATGCAAGAAAGAACTCGCAGTCAAATGCTAGAAGATATTGTAGCCAATTTGCAAAATCATGCGGAAACGGGACAAATACCCAAGCCCTACAGGAGAGGTATTATTTACTAGAACTAACTAATAAAAGTATGTAACTAACAGATAATCATAATGCCTGATATGAAACGAATGTTTAATTATCCTCAAAGAAACAATTATATAAAGGCACAAATCCGAGCCAATTAAGAAAAGTTTATATACTGATTTAGCTCGGACCAAGAATCAAACCAGTGGCCTATTCTAAGCACAGTAACGTGTCTGATATAGATATAAACTTTTTCTCTAGTTTTACTTTAAATAGTACTTTGAATCTCTTAAAGAATGAATTATAAAGCAGAGATTTACCTAATTAACAAGATAGTCCTCGATATTTGCTTCGCGGGCATCCTAAGAGCTTTCTTATTTTAGTAAATTATTTTCATTCTAAAATACTAATATTTTCTATCAGGCTCATGGCGTCCAATAGGCCACATGCGACCATCATCCCCTCTTTTGGACTCCGTTAGAGATCAGTTTGAGGATTATGACCAACTTGCTAAAGACTTCACGCGAGTATTCCTAAATAACGAGCCAAACGCGGCACAGAATGCACAAATGTTCGACGTTGTCTTTTTGGTGGGACAGTCGAAGCAGAAGACCAAGTTCATCGGAGTCCGGGCAATATTAGGCGTAAGAAGCAGGTAAGCAATGCTGTTGATAATTTATTATCAATTTATGATTTTTTAACAAACAATTAAATATAATAATAAACCATGTTAAACTAAAAAATTATAGGCAAACTCCCAAATCTCCGTGGATTTAAATCTGCTTAGTAAAATATGAACAAATTAAAAGCCTTAATCAACAACGATACTAACAGTCAGGTTTTTCTATTCCATGAATTAATAATCTCATTTAAGGTAGTTGTGATCATAATTTTAATATATAAAAATCCTGTGTCACTAATGTGTTGTTGTGTCACTAATCTCCGATAACACTAAAATTATTTTAATGAAATTTGCTTTTGCTGGAACAAAATTACAAGTTGGATCTTAAGAGAATAGTTTTTACCTCAATAAAAAAATAGACCTAATAAGTGACGGTAGAGAGCAAACAACACTTACGTTATCAGATTGTTACGTATACATTTTTTTATTGTAAGGAAGGTAAACGAGCAGAAAATCCACTTGATGGAAAGAGGCTACCATTACCAATAAACACCTGCAACATGAAAGGAGTTGCTTGTGCGTTGCTCGCCTTTTAAGACAGCACATTTATTCCCTTTAAACTGTATTCATCTATTTTAAGGCAATAACTACAAAAGTGTATGTTCTTTATTCGTAATATGAATAATTTCAGAGTGTTTCAAGAAATGCTGTATGGCATCCAGACTGGGTTCGGATCACCACAAGTGCCAGTAGCAGAGCTGCTAGCGAGGCCGGCGCCGACGCTTCTCTCCCCCACCCCTGCTAGGCAGAAAAGCAGCAACTTCCTACAAGTCCCTGACATCGAGTCCCCAAGGTTCCTTCTTCATAATTTCTTCAAATTTTTATGACTGTCTTTAAATATAACTTACGACCTGCAACTTTTCGAAATATTCATCATCGCTTCTTAATTTTTTCTATGAAAACTAGAGTGACAAACAAGTTGCTAGCCCTACTGGAGCTAAGTTGCTAGGACAACCATCGCTTGATAATATAAACAGTATCTCCATACTGTTCAAATTTTATCACAGAGATTACTGTCTTGTCCTTGTGGACACGATATTTTCATAAAATATTCTCTCATGGCAATCCTGAGGACTGCGATATTATGGTACCTATATAATATAATATTCTGTATTGCGTAAATTTACTGCCATCACTTCTTAGATCAACAAAAACAAAACTTAATTTTGGTTTAGAAAACTATTAAGTAAATATCTTTTATTATTTGTAATTCACTGTACAAAACATTAATTTACGTAACGCCATACAAATGTAATAAAATTCTAGTCTCTGTTTCTCTTTAATACAGGCTGACAAACAATGCAATAATTAAGCCTAAATCAGTTTTGCCCGAAAGCTTCTGTTATATGTACTAAGAAGGGATTTCTTGGATCTCCTCAAGAATGGAGACATACCAAGTTAATAAAAATAGTCTGCGGATAATATAAAACTTATTTAACATACTTATAATTCTTTTCAGACCGAAAAGTGTGCCTAGTTCGCCAATGGTAAAACGCGCTTTTTCTCGGCTCGGTACACTGACAGCAGGCTGGGGCCGTTCTATCCGTAAGCAACACTCACAACTCAACGCAGAAGACAAGAAAAAGTGGGCCAGCTCACAAGATTGCTCTAGTAAGTTCCTACTCCTATTGCCTTCGCAAATACAAAATACTTTCAGTATTTTGCAGTAAATCTATTTAAATAAATAATTATCGCAAATGCTGTACTGTAGTGCGTCATTTAAGAACAGCTGATTAGCTGATTTTTTATTTATAATATTTTAGAATTTAAATAAGACACTACGATTCAGTTAATATTTAAAAAAAATTGAATAGCAATCATAACTAGCTGGGAAGATACGCTTTCTCTTTCCTGACCTTAAAACTGTTATTATAGTTTGCGAAGAAAAAATTAGACAATCTACCCCTCAAAAAGAGAATCTATACTTTTTTTAAACCGCCAGCATTCGGGCGATTACTCTGGTAGTGTCAATGTGCTGCGATAATCACCTACATCAGCCGCATACTCGTTTGCCATTCATTTACATAAAAGACAATGGAGGACAAATAGAAGAAATAGGCATATTCATTTATAATTTCTAAAAAAGTAAAACCTTAACAATTAATTGTATTTGTATTTCAGACAAAGAAGGAAAAGATAAAGACAAGGATAAAAACGCTGCATTAGCAGTACCGAGGTTGTCAGTGTGTGCCGACGCGCAGAAAGTCGACCGTGCCAAACTCGCACAGACTGAGGTAATCATATCTTCTTATCACGCTTACATTGTTATTTATATGTATAATTATTCCGTCTTACATTTAAAAAGTATCTATTTAATTTTATTTTTTTTTATTAAAAACGGTGTCCATCGTCTATAGTCATTACATCGTGAACAACCCCATAGATATAATAAAGACTATGGCATTCAAATCTTAATTTATATGTACACCAAATAAATCCTACTTGATATTATCTAAAAGTTTGTAAAAATATTTATTATTCAATCACGTAAAAACAACTGAATGCATTTTAATAACATTTGGTACACAAATGGACCATTTTTTATCCTAACGCGAACATATAGTCATAACAGGACTGTCCCAAAAAGGAGGGCAATGTTTTCAAGATTCATGTATGTATTTAAGTTTATTTAATAAAAAAGATTTGGATGTAGTTAGAATCGATCATCCCAAGTGATAGATACTATTTTTGAAAATAATCCGTTTTATCAAGACAGTCGTGTTTTAATCATATTGTTTTTGCATTTCAGTTTTCAATAATCGAATTCGATCCAGAGACATTCCGAATATTACTGGACTACCTGCACACTGGTAGCTGTCCATTGACGTGTGCCTCGATACCTGGCCTTATATGCGCCGCGGAACATTACGACTTACCTGAGCTACTTCAAGCTTGCTTCCATCATGCTAAGCAGTTTCTTAGGATAGATGTTGTAAGTAGCAGTTTCAACATCCTAGTCTTTATTTTGATTTATACTTTATATCTAAATACCTCTCCACTATTAAAAAAAAAGCCCTGTTATAATAGCCACAGAATTTATGACTATTTATTTTTTATTATCTTTCATACCATTTTCTATTATTTGGGATCCTGACGAGTTAGACCTTTGTCTTCTCTTATATTTCATCCTTTTAGTAAACTCATCAGTTTTTCTTATTCCTTGATAGGAATACATATATGTAAATTCTGTCCTCAGTTTCTAATACTACTTTCAGGCTTTCCGCGTTAATAAAAGTCGTTATCTATAAATCCAATTTTCGCTCATTACTCGAATTTCTCTGTCTTTCAGGTTTGCACAATGCTCATATCATTAGAAAATTATTACTGGCGGTACACGTCAGCCTCGGAATTGGTGAACATGATTCTGGCCTTTATCGAGCAGCGAGCATATGCGCTCTTCCAAACGCCTGAATTCCTCAATTTATCCGAATCCATGGTTCAAATGATCATGTGCCGGAACCTTGAGGTGCCCGAAGTGAGAAAATTCGAAGCCATGCTTGGTTGGGCCAGAAACAAGATCAAATCAAAATCCGCAAATAAGACTGATGCCAAAAATGAATTTAAATGCATTATGGAGAGGTTAGCTAGGGACTTGAAACTGTATAGAATCACACCGCAGGAATTGATAAAAGTGGTTCTCCCATCGAAAGCCATCAAGAATGAAAGGATCCTAGAGACGCTGATGTACCAGGCGAACTCAGGGATGTACAGGATTCAGGACAGTGACATAGAGGCCTGCCAACAACGGCTACTGCAGAAACAGGACTCGAGATTCTCTGAATTCGAAAGCTTCGACTACGGTATATAAACTTGGAGCTGTGAGGATTATCAGTGTATTAGATAGATTACAAGAGAGTGTTTGGGCTGGGTCCTTCTTAAAATGTGGTATGTTGACGCCTTCTAAAGTATTATTGTTATAGATGTATGTACTTGAGTAGAGGTACGAGAAATATTTGTACAATTCTCGGATACCTATTCCTTGTTGTTGTTCATTGATACCTATATTTTTTACATCTAACTAGATGTGTTCAACATAATCATCTCTATTTTTGGTACCAAGAGAAATAAGATAATACGTACTTAGTCTGACAGTTGAATAACCTATTGAAATAGTGTATCAAATAAAATTTGTGTCCTTTCTATATTTTGAAATTATTTGGGGGTTTACGTTAATATAATTACATATCTTTATTGTAATTATGTGTTCTCCAAGACACCTGCTCCCTCCACCACTTCTCATTATTCATCGAGCACGGTCATATCATAGGTTCAGGTGTTCTCTGATCAAATAAATTGTTAATTACCTACTTTGTTACATGAATCACCTGCTAATCAGCCAAATCTATGAAATATTGTTTTAAAAGAGTTACTGATATTTAAATATAACTATAGATGTGTGGAAAAATAATAACAACATAAATTAAAATGTATATTAAAAATTATAAACCAAAACAAAATGTGATAATATAACTCCGTTTCATATATGACGGGATGGATTGTTGGCACATTCTTGAAGACTAATTTTAAGAGTTGTCGTAAATTTGATATATAAAATAAATACAAATAATTATATAAATAAATATTAAATATAAAATTTTAAATAAAAACAACGTGATTCCTAAAGGAAACTCATTATTAAATAGTGAATTACCTTTAATAACGTTGTATTTTCATCATTCACACATTCTGTCGTATTTGAAACGAAGTATGTAGCTATATACTTTAAACCTTATTTTAATTTTGTTACTCTAAACGTTATCATCTTCAGTGATATCTATTTTTTTTCTTCTGTATGATTTTTATCAAAACCTTCTCTCATCGTTCCTCAGATTCACGCCATCATAACACTATATTAATAAAATGATGATTATGTGTAGACGACTTGTAGAAATGACTGATTCTAAAATCTGTTGAATGGAGTCATCCTTATACATATTTATAAACTTCAATGATTTAACTACTGACTTAGGCTACAGTTATCTGTAAAGCTAAGGTGTAATATTTATACTTATTAGTCATTGATATATAAAATAATCAAGATTCATAATCTCATATAAAAATTATATTAAAAAAAAAGGTTCCAAATTTAAATTGAAAAAATTTTTAATTTACATTTAAACAAAATTAGTAAGAATGTTTTGACATGTTTGGCTAAAATGGATATACACTGTATTGTTATGAATTCAAAATTTAATCAAACGCACTCTATTTGCAAAGCCGTTTTTTTTTTAATATTAATTATGAATCTAAGGTTTTTTATATATCAGTGTTTGTAGTTAGATAATTTATTTGTAGAATAAATGAAACATTAAACTCCCGTTACTTAAAATATCTAATATCGTCATAGTTAATGCTTTAATAACTTCTTCATATGTCGTTATTTTAATATTATTATTTTAGCCGCTAATAAGTTGAGCACCATACCTCTTATTTTTAACGCAAACACAAAATACACACTAAAGTGTATTGTGTACATAAAATGTTTCGTATTTCAACCTTTTTGTTGTAAGTAATTTTTTCTAATCCGTTAACGTTATTACGTGCATTGGCCATAATTTCTTTTCTAAATTTTGCAAATCGCACAAATTCTAATTTACAAAATATGGCATTTAAAATCTCTTCCTTTTTTATACAAGTGATCAATACAATTTTTTTCTTTTTTGTAAGAATCAGTACATTCAGTGGCGTAACAACAGGGTGGCAGAGCTGACAAAATACCACTTGAATAGTATTTTTTTTTTACTGATAGTGCCCCATCAAAAGAATTTGCCACAGGCCCCAAACGGTATAGTTACGCCACTGAGTACATTTTTAATTTTGATCATCATTACAACCAGATCTTCAATTAATGCGGCAAAGACAGCCGAGCGAATAACTATCAGATGGAGAGGATTCCTATTTTAAATTAGTTTATTTTTATACTACAGAAATTATGTATACAAACCTAAAAAGATATCTAAATGACAATGAAAAGCATTTAAAATCTATAACATAGTTTAGAACAAGTAAAAGGAAAAATAGACGTGTACAACGACTTTATTTCATATTATTCGAAGTTAATCAAAACTGCTTTTTATGATTTGCAATTAAAGTTTAAATTACATATTCGGGTTTAAATTTGACTAACATTATATTCTGTTTTTATTTTAATATAAGCAATAAGCACATAATGGTTACATTTCAATTTTATTTTTTTACAATAATATACTACATTTAGTTTCACATTCCTGAGAATTCTCTCCTCTCTCTACTGAGAAGTCTAAATTCTCATTAAAAATAAACAGCTGTATTTAAAACAACTACAAGACGGTCTCACTTCTCGCATATATGCGTAATTGCTCTTATTATATGATCAGGCACTTCTAAAATTAAATAATTCCTTCTATCTACGAAACTTGTATTTTCAATTTAAGAGTAATCTAAGAAATAATATAATCTAGTAAAAAACATTTTTTAATTTTCTATTTGAACGAACAGATTAAGTACAAAAATAATGAAATGTTAAAATATCTACATCTGGTTACTCGCATAAAAACATTAAATCAATAGGTAGATAAGTGCTTAGTTGGTACTATCAAGTATTGTGTTATTTAGTCTTTTTTTAATTTTTTTTAGTATAACTCTAATGTTAAAAATACCAGTTTTTAACATCATTACATATCAAGTTATGAAAAACAGCACAAACGTAGAATTCACATTTTCTATTCGTATTTTCTGTCTTTGTATGTTACTATAGTATACCTCATTTACAAAAATATACCTGAAAAGTTGAAAGTTGAGGAAATTGCTAATCTATTCTAGTATTGATATTCAAAGTCCATTATTTTCATCTCTCGTTCTCTATTCCGATTAAAAAAAAATTCACTTAATACTTTTTTGTATACACTTACATCCATTAAAATGTATTTGATATATTGCAGGCATTCATAGACTATAGTAATCACTTACCATCAGACGAGCCGTATACTTGTTTGCAACCTCAATGGTAAAATAATTTCAGATTTTAATTGAAAAAACAACAAATATGGAAAAAATTTGCAAGCTTTGGATATTTATTGGTACAGTGACGCATAACACCATGTGAAATATGTAGTTTCTACTTTTCGCATGCTTTCTTATTAAAAAAAAAGAATTTGAAATTAAACAATAATTTCACCGATATAAAGTAGGTGCAATTTATTTCATGCAAGGTTTGTTATGGAATAGATAGTGAATCGAATAATAAAAGGACACACCTCTTCTTACCACAGATAAAAAAATAATTTAAATAAGGTTTATTGAAGTTCAAATGTTTTTGTGAAACAATTAATCCAATTCTTTATTTCCAAGATATACGTAATATTATGATGAAATGCAAAATTTTACAAAATTTAAAAGATTTGGTTAACATTTGAGTTATATCATAATTCAAAGTAAACTCGATAACTTTAAAATTTATAATCCATTACATCTAATTAATATTATTACATTGTTATTAATATTTCTTTCGAATTGTTGCTAATATTTTTTTTTTATATCACACTGAGATGAATTACTATTAGTGTTTACATTCTTATATTATTACACGGGACTGCAATCGACGTTTGCTGTAAGTTCTTGAAAGATGATAGTTATGAAAAACGCTTTCTGCAATTACACCGGACATCCTTTGGAAATTTAATAAAAATTGTTGATATATTATAATGGAATTCAACGGTCTAAACCATATATTTTTTAAATACATAGTTTTTATACATATTAAATATTCTTGTACGAAACTTGGTTTCGCTTAGCAAATACGTGTTGAGAACCAAGAATGGCAGTATGTAGAAACGTATTAAGATTATCGTGTTTAGATATAAATATGTATATTATTGTTTATGTAAAAAAAAACACCAGTATATACTTCTGAAGCATACATAATATATACTAAATTAAGTGTATAAATTTATTTTTTTAGAACCCAGAGAAATTTTGCTCGCATTTAGGATAATTATGTATAATAAATGAGGAAGATAAGTAACTGAATAACTACAATGAACATTTTTTTATGGCAAATATCCCCATCCTCTTGATGATGTCTTGTTATGGAAACAAAAGATTTTACTCACATAGCTATCTATGTACGCCATATTTTATACATATATACAGAAAGATGTAAAAAAATATGGGAACGTCTTTCCATAAAATCTTCAAAATGGTTTGCAGCTATTGCCAGTCGCGGGTCATTAAGTTTTATAACAGTATTGAGACCGAAATTCAATATAAATATTATATTTACAAAGTGCTGAGTTTAGGCAAAAAGCGGTTTCTGCAAAGTTTTGTGTAATCAAATGTCTTGTTTAAAATTATTCTCTTCTGCGAGAAATTTAACAAATATCTTATTAATAATTTGTCTTGAACTACATATGCGCATGATTATTATAGCATCGTTTTTGACTTTTCAATTATATGTTCAGCTAGTAAAATCTTTTATTTCTTTTATCCAAACAAATATTTCAATCGATTTTTTTACTCTTATCCTTCACAAAATCCATTACATTAACAATTAACTATATCATCATATTTTCTACTTGTCTGTTAAATTTTGCGGCAATCTCGTTTTGTAAACCAAATGTACTCGTAACTTCATCAAATTGAAAATAAGATTCATTATAAATAAGTACTTTATATCTACATTGTTGTGACATAAGCCGGCGCTCATTGACAGAAAAGAGGTATGCTAAAAGTTATAAAAGGCTTTCATGACGAATAATTTATAGTAAGAACATCAATAAAATGAACACTAACGACTCGGACAATGCTAGCTTGAATGTACAATGGTCCATGGTCAAATCTCAGTATAAACTTATGAATTTTTCGAATTCATTATTGGATCATTTAACAATGATAATTACTTACTCACACTTTGGAGGACACGTAAAGCTAAACCACATTACAGACCTTCATTCATACTCATATATAACGAGAGAACTCCCAGATTGAGTAGTAATACTAAGAACATCAATAAGAATGAAAAATCACACCAATCTAGACCTTAATACCTTAAGAAGACGAACGACAAAGTGAAATTTCTGACCATTTATAATAGTAATTTATAAAAGCAACTCTGCAATCGCATTTGTGGTGAAATTCTATAGAAAATCCGAACTAACTGATGTGGCAACATCATATACTATTCCATTATTTCCATGGTGTACACAATATTGTAGGCGATGGTTATCATTAATCATTTCATCAGCTACATGTCGTTCTCCAATCGACTTGGTAATTTGGATGAAATTGTCCATAGTTTTGTTGATCCTAGCTACTTGAACTACTTATATCCAATTTATGTGTTGTAGCTACAAAAATAATCAATTTTGGATAAAAAATTGATACTAACATTATTGCATGTATTATAAATAAAGCCAAAAGTCGTTTATGTCCGGCTAACTTTCGATTTTGAGTTCCTACATTCAATCGAAAAATGTTCAAAAGCTTGATGAAAATATTATTACAAGTCCTATTTTCAAGAAAATTTAAAATAATGCCGTCAATAAATAGCTTTTGTAACATCACGTCTACTAGTTCAGCAGTACGCTTAGTTTTATGTAAATGGAGGTATTTGCGTCGTCTCTCTTCATCTGTGTCTGTGGTTATTGCGGTAAGAGGTAGTTTACAGTCAATGAACACTGCCATATTAACCCGTCAGTGAGCGCCGGCCATAATGGACTATTTAATTTACTTAAGTCCTTTTAATTTCACATGTGTACATTTATAAAATCTTCTATCTAAAATGACTTTTTAATAAATAGGTGTTATATAAATATGTAGCCTAAATATATAAATTCTAACGTTCTGAAAAAAAACATTAAAACAAGTTGAATCGTCAGTAAACATTTTATACTTACGAGATTATACACCTATTATATAATATAATGTATATATATATATATTACCTTCTATGAATTGTAACTTTTACTTTGTTGTAATTTTGCTCAAAGCATTCAAATATATACTTACCTATACTACCGTTGCTGTTAATATATGATATGTATATTTATGACATGATTATAATTTGTGGATATTACGCAAAAATGTACTATTATAGAATCTAGATTATCTTATGGGATTTCCTGCTTCTATAATACTCATATATATTTTTAGGTTTAACTCGTAGGAACACCAAATAATTGACGTGTCAAGCTATAATGTCTAAATAAGTTTTCTATTCCAAAATTTTTACCTTCCTGTGATCGTGGATGTTGCTATATGTTAATATGTGGGATCTTCAAAGAATATAATATTGTAACTGTTATTTTGCATGAGCAAGATTATTATCCAATGAAATTTTATGTGGTGAATAAATTTGTTTGTGTATTTTTGTGGTTGTTTCTTTATATTGCTAATAACAAGCGTTTAACGGTTACTATTGAACTTCACCCGTGTGCACATATGACTTAAACAGATGTCGTAACTTCGTTTACTTTGCGTATAAATTTTAAGCCAAGCTAAGTTAAGCTTTTTTATAATACTTAGAATGGCAAACAAGCTGCCAGCCCACTTGATGCAAAATGGTAACCGTCACTTATAGACTTGTATCTAAGCCTTAATTAAACAGAAAAGCCTAATTGATTGGGGTTGAATTTCGCTGAAAGTTGGAACATATGTTTATGTTATAACGTAAGTATCAGCTAATGAAGGCTTTTCAAAAATTTGAACTTAAATGGGAGACAGGACACCACGCATGCAAAGCCGCAAAGTCTTATAGTGTTGACTATACCAATTTATATGCAACATCCAAAATCTTTTCTGGGCGAGTTTGTATTCCTTGAATGAAATATAATAGACAGATGGCCGTAATATATACACATATCCTATAATAAAGTGACAAGTTGCAGTTACTAATTATTAGACATGACTATTATTTTATCTTTATGGCTTTTCAACAGGTAGTTGTAAGTACAAATGAAAATAGTAAAAAGGCCTTTGTAGGGCCATATGTTATATGAAGAAATGAACATTTTACAGATTGCAAAATAATATTCATTGATAAAACAGCCAAAATATTTTTAAAACAAAATTAATTTTAAGTGCAACTAATTATTAAATTAAGATTGAGCAAGTCGCACGTGATTCTACTTCTTCGTCATTTTTATTTCTAAAACTGTTATCGTCTGCAAAACATTCTGTATAATATATTCCAGCATTAATTTCGACATCCATTTGCTTACCGGTTATACCGTAATATCACTGAATCAACTAAATAGATACTCTATGCAATGATATTTATGGTAGTACCAAATAAAAAACGTTTACACAAATATGAATATTTATTGCCCACCAATATAAAAAGAAAAATATGCATATATGTACCTATAAGCAGAATTAGGATGCACTACACATTTTGGGAGCTACAAGTTTGACAGTTGATTATGTGAAACGGAACGCACTACGCAGGGCGAAGCGAAAGTTCCCCACGACGCCGCAGGCAGCGCTCGTGTGCCAGTCTTCTTGCAGCGGGCGCGTGGCCGGCTGCTTGTTGCAGTGCGCGGTGCGAACCATCACACGCGAGTTCGCGGTCATAGGCTCGAACGAACATCGAAATCGACGGTCAGTGCGGTGACCATGATGATGGACAACGGGGTGATAACAAATAACTATGAGTACGGCGATGGGTACATGGAACAGGAGGAAGAATGGGAACGGGAGGGTCTACTAGACCCGGCTTGGGAGAAGCAACAGAAAAAGGTCAGTCATTTATCTATGTTGACAGGCTAGTTTGAAAGGGTAGGTAAACTATAACAACGGATGCTAACAAATAAAAAAATCTGTGTGTAAAATCGTGAACACAACTAAATACAGTCTAATACTCTTATCGCAACCGTGACTCACGTTTGTGTACAGTTTTTTTTATTTTATCTATAAATCCATTTGACAAGCATTCTTGCTTTTACTGAACACACGTGAGACAAGTAGGTGCATAGACGATATAATTCTAATAAACAAATCCAAATCCGAATTACCTCATTTTAAATCTATTTTTAACCGACAATCTATACCTGCCGCAAAAATAAATTATTAACCGAAAGTAACAAAAACTATATATCTATTTCTTGCGAGGAAATCTAATTTATTTGTCAATTATAGAAAAAAAATTAAATCTAATAAGAAATAAGTTCAATATCGGAAATCGCGCGTATTTCAAAAATCAAACTATCGTGTACATTTCCCGCCGCTAGTTGAAAGTAGATCGCGGCCGTGGACACTATTAAAAGATTTCTTGGAGCTTTTGGTGCGAGCGAGACACGCTCACGTGACGTCCCACGGGAGGGAGCGGGTCAGAGAGAGAGGAATCGAATTTCTGTTAGTCATGTCCTAAAATGGGTCCAGCGCAGGCGCCGCTGAAAGCGCGGGCGTCCGTCTTTGCGTCACCATGAAACCCATATTTCAGGAAACTGCCATGCCTGCTGAATCTACGTAAAATGCAACTTGTAAATTGCTATTAACGCCGCTATCGAATGCTCCGTGACGAATGCTCTGACGCACCCCGTGAGCTCAACCAGAGTGGAATGTCATTAACGGCCCACGAAAGCGCTCCTGTCATATGGTAGAAACAATTTTATATGGGATGATCTATACATTCCAAAGTTTATAACTTTTTTATATAATAGGCTTAAATGGTTTACCAATTTTACTATTTACCGCCAATATTATTTTTTCATTGATCACCCAAAGTTATTTATTATGCAGGTACGTACAATATTATACCATAAAATTAAAAATAAATGTATTTATTAGTGACCAATATATTATTAAACATAATTAACCGGATTGACATATGAATATTGTTGATTCTGAACTACTTTTAGAACCATCCAGAACCCCGACTCATGAGTAGAAAGACAGGGTAAACCTGACAATATTTTATGGCATGTTGTGGAATAAGTGAAAGCATAATCACTATAATAACATTTTTGTTCTAATTTTTAAAAACAAATTATTTTGAGCAGGTTCTGGTTTCCAAAAAAGAATTCTATAAAACATATCTATTAGTCAACACTCTCTTTAGAGTAATTGCTTTTAAACCTTCAAAGACATTAAGGATAACAAATATGTTTGAACTTCTAACGATGTAACTATTTAATAATATGGACAAAGAACCAGCAAGACTTATACAATAGGCCTTGCAGGATATAAACAAAGAGCCTGTGACACTCGGTGCATTGGCCGATCATGTATGCCAGGTCAATGTCGCGGTCGACCAACTTGAGATGCGACTGAGCGGAAAAGTCACCCGACCAGTCGCCCTCGCTCTTCGTCGTTTGACTGGAATATGACTTCCGCAAAGAGGTTAGTAGCACAGGTATAGCAATAGTGTTTTCCATCTGCAAATCCACGATCCATCATTATAAAAGCCTATGAAAGTGCAATGCAAATCCAACTTTCGTTTTGAGTAAATATGGCAAGAAATTATGCAAACGAAAGGAAATTTTAATATGTGGTATGATAAAATTTATAAAAAATAATATCAACGGACGATTACGCTAGAAATCTGCTGCGAAAGTATTAAATTCGGAACTGGTTATCAAGTTATTTACATGATACTGTTCATGTATTCATAATTAATAAACATAACAGGTAATATATCATACAAAATATTTTCTAAAGAACATTATTACCTCCTTATTACCTGTAATACTAAATCATCATCTCAGCATATCGTTAATACCTTTTGTATATTAAAACTTTGATGGACAACAATGATTTCAGATAAATATACTCATTGACATAATGTATTCGATACACTCTCTTCTATTGCTGTCCTACGTTACTTACTATTTGTAACTGGGTCTAATTTCTATTCTCTATCATCTCGTTGTCTACTTTGCTTACTTTTTAGATCTCTGTTCCATTTCTACGCCTGTTGAGACTAAAAGGACAATATCATCGGCAAATTGAAGATTTATTGATCCTTGTTTGTGGATGATACCCAAAACACTTATAAATACGAGTACTGAGGATTACTATGTCCTATAGTGTCACTTTGTTTAATACTTTTATGGAACAAAATCTAGGAACGATGGAAGCAAGTTTTACGTTTACTGGCTACCATATATATTTTTGATGTAATCTGTAGGTTTTGAAAAATGTAAATATTGCCAAATCACTGACTTGAACTTATAATCTCAAAAACCGTACAGTCCATGAAGCCTAAGTTTCTTGTATTCTAACAATTATTCTTTCGTCAAGATGCTAATGAAGGGCCAGCTTCAGATGTTACTGAAACACAAACTCATCTATACGTATATCTTGTTAAGCCTAACTTACAGTAGTCAGACTAGCTCACTAACTGAGGCACATAAATCTAAACTCAATTTCTGCAAAAAGCAATTAAACTTTAGAGGCAATGAAGACTCACTGAATGTCCAATAATATACTTTGCTCACAAACTAGCATGACCGAAGAATAAGGGCCAGAAAAAGACCTGACTTAAGTGGAATTAGTTAATCATATTAGGTACCTACTTAAGTTTTAACAGGTGAGTAAATATCACCACTCAATGCTGCCTACAAATAAGTACATAGCATCTGAGAATGATCTACACTGTAATGGTGTGATGTCCTAGTCATTTATAAAATGATGGCTTGAAGTTACACACGGCAGGAATAATTGGAATAGGAGATAATTTTAACCCACAATAGAATGCACAGGGTTAATAATGCAATTTGATCTTGATAATGATTTATTTACCATAAAACACATCAGTAACGGTATCGGCATTATTAAAGTCAACGGAAAATAGGGGATTTCAAATCGCAAATCTGAATAATATACTTGAGAAATATGTAGTGTTATTTTCAATTTAATTAAAACTAAGTAGTAATGTTATACGTTTCATTTTATCTATTTTATACTATTTTTTCCCATAAAACAAATATAGTGCAAAAAAATTGTCTATGTTCTTATAAATGCTGAGAAAAAAGTAGTAACTTAAAGGAAATGGATGCAATGGAATTTCAAGGGCCAAGATATTTATACTGTCACCATTTTATATTTTACTGTTATATTTTAATAAAGACAAGGAAAATGATATACCATAATTTATAGAGTTGATTGGTAAACTGTTGATATATACTCGTACACAGAATTTCTGTTACGTAACGTTTGACAAGGCTATTTTTTCCTTGTCGTTGTTGGCTCGTTTTTGGCACTCGGTCAAAAACCAAAGTAGAAGTATCAGTGTCTTGCAACTCTTCGCTGTTACCTACATTTTACAGAAAAATAAAATTATGACGGTTGCACTTGAAAAAAAATGTATTGCTAACGACATTTCCTCTAGTTTCTACAAAGTCTTGACTAAAATATCAATGCTGAATAAAATCTCTTGGAGTTACAAACTTTACACACGATTTTCATACATATTATAACATGATATTTAGAGCACATGCTCTAAATTCTTCATCAATATCATCATTTTAGCCATTATCCGTCCACTACTGAACATAAGCCTCCCCCATAGACTGCCATAAAGAACAGTCCTGAGCCACCTGCATCCACTGACTCCCTGCAACGCATTTCAGGTCGTCACTCCATCTAGTGGAGGGTCGTCCTATACTGCATTTACCTGTACGTGGTCGCCACTCAAGAACCTTTCTTCCCCATCGATTGTCGATTCTTCAAGCTATGTGACCAGCCCATTGTCACTTCAGGTTGCTTATTCTTCGGCCTATGTCTAAATTCTTACTAATATTAAAATGTGAAATTAGGTTTGTTTCTTTGTTTGTTATCTATATAAGGTAAGACAGCTTAACTAGTTAGTATGAAATTTGATATACACGTCCTATATGGAATAGAGCCTTCTCCGTTTCATTTATCACTATATAGACTACTTTTTATCCTGATCAGTAATCATATCACGGTCACGCAGAGGAAGTCGCGGGTGAAAGCTAATATTCAATAAGAATAACTTTATATTCAATATCAATATCTATAGATACGGAAGATATTCGATTCATATAAGGGAAACCGCGGAAGTTGCATCTGATTACAATTTTTTTATGCAATTTAAATTGGCAGCAGACTGACGGTCACATGATGGAAAGTGCCCATAAACATAAAATAGAATCATGGAAATTATTTGTATGCAATCATTAAGAAATCAGTAAACAAAAATCATAATTATATATTTCGAAAGACGTTTTACGTCAACAGTATAAATAATAATAACAAGACAGGTTTTTCTAATTTTAAAGTATATATTGATGTACATGTTTTAATAGGATGGATTGAATGCTAACTTAACCAAGACTTGCTATTGAATTGTTTCCTTCCTTATACGACTTAAATATAAGAAAACATTACTTACCTACTTTGTATTTTTTAACCATTACATTACACTAAACGAACAAAAATTATCGTTGTTTACAATGGTTTATTTCAACGAATCAACATTGCTAAAACCACATTTGCAAACCTTGAAAACTAAATAGATGCAACCTAGCTAACTAAAGATAAAGTTACACGACTAGGTATTCAGTTTTTCCATGGAAATGATGACGACCTTGAATATTTAAATGCGACACAGTAATAGTTTACAGAATAAATTTACATCGAATTGATGGCTAGTAGAAATGTAACTTTCTAAGCGGGCGATGGTGTAAGCTGCTCGCAATGTAACTCGCTTTCCAGTTCATAGAACCCCAAATAGTCCGATCAATGGACTATACAAACAAATATTAAAACGTTGATACGAAATATAAATAATTATTTTGTTTTTTTTTTTTTTTTAATTTGTTACTTTTATGTCTAAAAACAAAGTTTAGTATTTGCTAATAATACTTACTAAAAAATATATAAGATTTTAAAGACAAGGTAATCTTTAATGACATTCCATGTTACCTTCATAGAATTACAAAAATAGTTACCTACTTCAAAATCATTCACAAATTTGAAAAAAAATTAATCGAATGTATGACTTAAATTTTTTATAGCTACTAAGGTATACAACCTATACAGTATATATGACGCATGACATCCCTGGTTCGAGACCAGGGATGCCATGCGCGCACATTGCTGACCCTTAAGAAACCTTACTGTACCCTTTTTAAAGAACCCCATGCTATAGTCTCTAGGGAAACATCCAATATCTCAATTGTGTTTCAATGTATACACACACACACATACGTGTGTGTGTACAAAATATATATATTTCGAAAATAATAAAATGAATTAAATAGATTTCTAAAATTATTTATCTAATTATATTTTTAGTATTAAGCCTTCCCATGGTTGAAACGGAATATACCACACAATAAACTATTACACTAAATAAAATTATTAATCATGTTTGTGACATAAAAAAACATATTTGTTTACGAAATACTACCTACTTGATTCTATTAAATTTCATGTCATTTGTTTGCACGGTATAAACAAATGTAAATACGAGTAAACCTCTAAAAATAATTAAAGATCGTGTTCCACAAAAAGAACCGACTTCAATTGTGGCGAAAACAGTTACTTTGATCTAAAAACTAAATTACTTAACCGACTTTGATAAAATTTCTATGAGACCAATCTGTCAGTAAATCCTTTCAGATAAAAAAATAATTTTCTAAATCGGTTTAGATCTGAATTATTGTCTATACAACCGAATTGAGATCCTGCTCTTTTTTAAAATCGATTGATAACTTAAAATGGCAAAATCGCTCAGGCATTTACCATAACAATTTGTGAAACAGTTAATAAATACTATCAATATTAGCCTTTCTCGTATTAAAAAGTAAATATTACAGTTTTAAAACATAAATAACTTATGTCTTCTTTATGAATTAACGATAAGAATTCTTTAAAATCAAATAACATATGATTCGTGGAGAGAACTGTGCAAGTAATCAAATGTAGGTTTTATTGAATAAAAAAATATACGATTCATAATAATAGATAGTAGTATGCAGGTATCACAATATAACGTGCCTACGCGACCAACAAACATGTGGATATCTTAAGTATACATGCAGGGTACGTCAATAATATCATTTTAAGTGGACCGGTTCTCTCGCGGATAGTTCTACTAAGCACGTAGAGGTATTAAATAATGAACCCATCTCGCTTTTAATAAATTGTAAACGGCATAAACGGGTTTCTTTAAAAAAGTTTGATTTATTGACATCATATGTACAATTTAAAGAATGTTTCTAATTACATTAATTATATAAAATAAATTACACACTATGCAATTGAAATCGTTAACATATCATAACATAAAGATATGTTAAATCTTTAAAGACAGTGTTCAACTAGTAAAACTACATAATTCTAAAGAAACCATCAATCGAAAAGCAGCAAAAAATTTTGAGCCTCCTATACAACTAGACTATAATAATGTTTATTTACAAATTTAAAACTTTTTTGACCACATTGTCAAAAAAGGTCTTTATACTAAGTAACATAGTCTCCTAGTCAACTTAAGGGCAAATCAGAAAATTCTGTATGCAATATTAATGATCAATTTCACTAATAGAATACTAATGATTTTAGTTTCACTTTCTATTCGAATTAAAGTTGATATCAAATTCTTAATATTTTTTTACTCTGTTTACTTTTCGTTTGTTCTAATACAATTGTTATTCAAGTCTCGTTGCGCCGAAGCACTATCGTCTTTCGAAACGCAGTGGAGAGTAGATAATAAGTACATACGTAGGTAGGCGTCGACCCGCCTACGTCTTGCACCCAGGTGTGGTGCGCTTGCGTCTAGTTCTATGTCAACTTTGTATGGCTTACTCAATACAATTAGCTGGAATTTTTCACTCGTTATATTACTAATGTTAAAAATTAATTGACAACCGTGTTTTCCTATTAAATTAATTGTTATTTCATAAAACGCTATAATTTTATTGCATTTCATCACCCATTTCTCAACACTCATTCAATATTGTTCCGTTATCTTTAGAAAAAAATTTAAGAAATATTTCATTGTTACGTGTAGTGTAACTGCGTTCAATCAAATTTAATCTCTCTGTATACACATAAGATATCAAACGGTCGCTGTTATGGTAGCTTTAAGTAACGTTACTCCATAGTACACACTGATAACTAGATAGATATACTCATAAAACTCTCTTTGCTTGCTGACAAACGTAAGCAACTTGAACTGCTTTCTCTGGAAATATTTACTTTTATACGCCCTAAGAAAATATTGTTATAAATTCCTCTCATAATAAAGTTAAATAAAGAAAAATTCATTATAGAAGTTAATTAAGAAAATTTGTGTGAATGTTGCCAATTAGAAATATCATCAGGCATTATCACTAGAAACACTAAATAAATAAAAAACCATTCCAGCCGATGCCTGGGATTCCTTTTCTACTTAATAATAACTCAAACAGAAGTAATGCCCACCTTTGACACAGCTAACTATTATGTACTTTTTTTCATATTTTGATACCTAATATTGCTAACTAAAATAATCAGTCTTTGATAAAATTTAAATAAGAATAAGTTTTAATATTCAATCAATGCAATATGCACGTTGATATGGTGCTCTATCCTTAAGATTCCTAACATTTTGCGCCAGTATTACATCTCAAATGTATCTATTTTGTCCTTCATAGGTAGCTTCAATGCCTTGTTTTAGGACAATACATGAACACAGATTCTTCTTTATGTACAGCACCCCTGTGCATATTAAGTGATCTTGGAGTTTCAATATAGGTTTCTATTTATCCATATCTGATCTTATCTCCATTTTTTAGCTTACTTTCATTTAGTCTCCTCGTTAGTTTGTCCAATCATTCCGGTCATACAAAATCCCGCACCGTGCATAAATCATGCAAGTTCAGGGATCTTAGCGTATCTTGAATATAAGCTTGTATCAGCATTAATCTACAATGTAAATTAAAATTATTATAATAACCTTATGCAGCGCAATTTTGGTGCTATTGATATTGACCGTTTACGTCACGATGCTGCGGATTGTGATTGGTCATCCCACAGCAAATATTAATGATCATAGAATTATTTAATAAATTAATTTTAGATCTGTACGATAAACATGCTCCCATCCGCCCGGTCAGGGTTAAGCATTTACCTGCACCTTCGATCAAGTCCATAATCCACAAAAAAAATATTGCTAAAACTAAATATAAGTCGGATCCAGACAGACATCGTAATGAGTACATCAATACTAGAAATCTCTGCAACAGGGTGTGTAGGGAGGCTCAACGACGCCACATTCATAAATCCGTAGAAAATGGTGATGCAGCAAAAGTTTGGAAACTTAAGTCATTATTATCATAACGATAATCCTGGTAATCTTGATGTTGAAATAATAATCATTTTTGTACTTCTACTGTCATGGACAGCAATGTAAAATCTAAGACATTGCACTATCTTTCATCCACTATCGCCCCTAATTGTACTTTTTATTTTTGATCAGTTGACCGATTGTGATGTTGAAAAGAGTTTACGGTCTATATCGTCAAAAGCCATTGGCACCGATAGCATTAGTCGTAATATGATTTTACCTATCCTTGATATCCTACCCACCATTACCTTACTTTTCAACAATTCCCTGTCCTCCGGTTTCTTTCCTTCAGCTTGGAAGGCAGCTTTCATAATACCAAAAAAGAAACTATTTCGTTCTCAGATTACCGTCCAATTTCTATACTCCCTTTTCTATCCAAAGCCTTAGAACGCCTTGTCCAACAAAAACTTAACTTTTACCTATCAAGAAACAATCTCTTAAATCCTCTTCAATCTGGATTCCGTCCTGGTCATAGTACGACTACTGCTCTTATTAAAATTTCTGACGATATCCGTTTTGGCATGGAGAATTCTCAATTAACGGTCTTAACATTATTGGACCTTAGCAATGCCTTTAATACTGTTGATTTTTGACTGGTTTCGTAGTTACCTGTTTGGACGTCGGCAACGTATTCGCATTGATGACGTTTTATCTTCTTGGTGCCATACGTCATATTTAGGGTGGCGTCTTATCTCCTCTTCTATTTGCCTTATTTATTAGCACTATCACTTCGAAACTTCAATCTTCCTACCACCTTTATGCAGATGATTTACAGATTTACTCAGCTCCTCTGGTTGATATCTCTTTAGCAATATCTACTGTTAACGCCGATCTGGAACGTATATCTGCCTGGAGTAAATCTCATGGTCTTGTTATAAACCCCTTGAAGACACAAGCCATTATTATTGGGAGTCCCATAATTTCCAAAATTTCCTCGACCAGTCTTCTGCCTGTGGTTTTTGATGGGGTTATGATAGATTACCAGAAAAAAAGTAAAAAATCTTGGCATTATTTTTGATAACACTTTGTCATGGTCTCCACAATATATAAAAAAATGTTTGCTGCAACTTTTGCCTTAAATAGACTACGTAATTTCCTCCCAGTTAACACCAAAATTGCGCTCGCACACACCTTATCCTACCCATTCTTGATTATGCCGACTATGTTATTTAGACCTCACCGAAGAGCAATTAAACAAGCTCAAAAATATCCGCTTCATATTTGGTCTTCGCAAATATGATCACATTTCTCAATTTTAAACTCAAGTGGCTCTCTATCCGTTTTCGTCGTAATCTGCATATCCTGTCTCTTCTTTACACAATCCTTTTTAATCCTGATGCTCCTGATTATCTAAAAGACCGATTCTTGTTTCTCAAGGCTAATGATCATACTTTACGCAGTGTCAATAACCTCCGACTTAAATTTCCCACTCATTCTTCTTCCTTTTATTCTAGATCCTTTACTGTTCAGGCAATTCGTCTATGGAACTCACTACCTACCTCTATTCGGTGCGCTCAAACTCTTACTAGCTTTAAAACCTCTGTTAAATCTTACTACCTCTCACTTTAGTACTATTTTCCTGTGTTCTCTCTTCGTTTTCCTTCATCATTTTTTTCTGTTGTATGTATCCTGTTAAGTATGTGTATGTTATGTATATATTTAATTGTGTATATATTATATATGTATGTGTAATGTATGTATGTTATGTATATATTTAATTGTGTATATATTATATATGTATGTGTATATATGTATGTATGTATCTATATATGTTTGTATATGATAATATTTATATAATAGTTACTCTTTGTCTTTTTCTCAATGTCCTTAAAAGGTTGTCTGGAAGAGATTGATAAGATTTTGTATCACTTCTCATTAATATTTACTGTATTTGTTATTTCTCTTTTTACTTGGTGCAATAAAGTGTAAATAAATAAATAAATAAATAAAATAACCTTAGTGACAGACAAGGCATCCCACTATCATAGAGCAGACTGCAGACCTTTCGATGCCAACACGTCTATTTTCAACTCTGTCCAATCGCCCACGCAAATTGCTTACACTCACACATTATTATAATTAGAAAATCGTGGATACGAAATTTATTTTTGACACCCGAATGGTTTTTGGCTTCTGAACGGACGATGTCCGGTAGTTTGATACGTTCTTAATTGCAATACCAATACGGTCCACGGCCAATAAAATAGCTATTTAATTGTAATTAGTCGGCTTAAGCTTGATGTGATTCCTTCGTAAAGTTAAGACTTTATCTGGTATGCCGCAATTATAAAGACGCTTTATATAATTATTAATTATATCCACTTATAATACAAATACTATATTTACTTTTACATTAATGTCAATAATAAGAGCCACACAATCAAACCAATCGCCTAGTTTCCAAACAAGTCATCATAATATAGTGTAATATGATGAGAAGAATCCCAAAATATATAAGAATTATGTTTTTTCAAAGACGTATTATCCTCTGCGACTATATTTTTGTCAAAAATAATTTCTAATACATTATTTTAACAAGATAGCAGTAAGGCCTCACTGTTTGGTCTATAATGATTGGCTAAAACAAACATACTTTGGCTGGGTATTTGTTTAATTACATTTCGACGTAGAAAGTTTACAGTACGTACCTGCCATCTTTCTCTATCTGTATTTACCTGTACAATTAATTTATTTACATAAAATAAACGAATTTAGATGATTCCGTATTGAATATTTTCTGTTACCTTAATGGTTGATAGATCAATAATGTTTTATGGCAATAAATTCTCCATATACATAACTAAATATTCCGGAAAGAAATAAAAAACTGCATGCATAATACAATGATGTTTTTATATTAAAGATATGCACAGAATTAGCTATTAATACGTAACTGTTGCGTCAATACGAAATCTTATAAGTTCAGATTTAAAGGATTTAATATATAATAAGCATTTATCAAACATAGATGTAAGTACATCAGTATAATTAATCGTTTAACATTATCATCAACACTATTATAATTTTAGTATTGACTATATAACAATTAATTATTAATCTTACTTCTACAGTCATATACTTAACTTTTTTTTAAAAAAAGTATAATTATGTAGATCTTGTTACAAATTAAAATAGTTGCTTCTATTGATAAATAAATAACATTATTTCATAAGAATGAAAACGTTACAAATAATTATGGACATACTAGTAACTGCTTGTATTGGGAAGTGGGAACTGAGTCTCTATTACAGTTTTTCTCTAGTCTGTAGACTGAACATGGCATTTGGTGCCGTCTAATATTCGAATCGCTGGAATAGTTGGACTATTATTGACCTTGAACATTTGTGCCAAATTTAATGCAGCTGCCCGCCCCTATGGACGAGACAGCTGCCTCATTGATTGAAGTTCATTACAATCTAACGTTTCGAATAAATATTATTGTTCAGAAAAACGCTATGAACAATCTAATTGATTTGTCTTCCATTTTTAATAAATTTGTAATAGCATAATCCTGCGATTATAATCGACGCCTTAAACATTCTACAATACCCCATTCTACAAATAAAGATTTGAGGATAATAGAACCAATTAATGGTGTCCCTCTATTTCTCTTCCAAATTACTCTGAATTTTAAAACGCCGGCAACATAGTAATGTCTGCTCATCTCTTGTATTGCAAGTATTAATGAATAATGTTAGTCCCATCCTGTCAGGTAAACCGTCATTGTATCTTTTGCCTGCCTGACAATAGAAAATAATATATGATTTAGTCATCGCACAAACAATTCTTGTTTGTGCGATGTTGTTTGTGCAAGGTTGTCTTGAAAAGATTGCTCAGCATTAAGATCGCCTTACTGTGTTGTGTTGTGTACGTTGTGTTTGTAAATTGTCTTGCTTATTTCCTATATTGTATAATGCAAATAAAGTATACTCATTCATTCATTCAATTCTTGCAAAGCTTCCTCTCCAGTTATTGGTTCTTCGAGCTTTTGCCACTTTAGCTTGCTACGGACTATATTGGTCATATTTGATTCTATATTCTCCGAGATTTCACATTTCAGATTCTATCATGAAAAATACGAGTGCGTTATATTATTCCCCGACAACAGTCCAATTACAAATTTCAGCACTTTCTACTGTTATTAACAGTATATCTATAACTTCTGGATTGATGCCATTAAAGTTAATGTCAAGGTCTGTCTAGTCGATGACGCAGAAAAAACAAATAGCAATTTTACAACATTATCAAAAACAGTTCGAAGAACATTATGTCAAATCAAGATCAAGGTTTAAGGATAAAATTTATAGAAACATTTCATTTCATCGAGTATTTCATTTTTATTTATTTATATTTTTATAAAAGTAGTTTAAATGTAACTATATTTTTTGCATTACGTTTCGCGATATCTTCGTAAATTTCGAACCAAATTTAATCTTCTCAACCAATAAACTTTTCTCTCATGATATCAAATACAAATTTTCTCACAATTGAGGATATGTTAAAATGTGTTTTTTTTTTCTATTTGTTCGTTCAGATGAACAAACTCACTTTCCCATTTATCACATTAATAAGAATTTTATCATCAAGACGAAACTGCGACGAAACATAGAATGTTAATAAGTTGTTCTGTCATTTGTTTTTCAAAAAGTAATCTTAGTAAACAACATTCTTTCCTACTTTGTAATATTATAAATGTGAAAGTTTTATAAAGGTGTTTGTATTTTAAGCATACTTACATGACTGGATAGATTTGAATATAATTTAGTACACAGACTGATAATATTTTGGGGTAATTGTTGATTAGTACAAGAGTATAATTTCCAATCTAATCAACCGGGTAGTTTTGCAGGATACAACTAGTTAATAAACGTCAACACTCCCACTTATTATATAGTTGAGACCTCATTTTGGCAACTGGCCATTTCTGGCTCAGAGTGACCTATTGTTGTATACGTATTTATTGTTACGTTTACAGACCGACACGCCTACCTACTGTGATGCGGGTATCGCAAATAACTAGCGGATGTGACAAAATCCCAAAAAAAAACTGCTGTTTATTTCTGATAACATTTTAAAATCCCTATATTTTAAAATTTCTAAAAATATTTCCAATCTCGAGATATTATTAATTGAACCTCAGAAAAATTTATAGTTTAACATTTGTGATAAATATTTTATTATCATCCATCAAGAGTGAATCGCAAAAGCAAACTATGATTTATCTTTTGTCCTGTCTTTTATATCCATCATTCTACATCATGAAGAACCTGTAAGAGGTGCCTAACTGTGCAGTGAAAGTCGCTAAGTTCTAATTTAGATATATTTAGGTTATCTATTGACTAGCCATAAGAAAATCATCCATCAAACATACAGTACATACAAACATCTGAAAAACATTACCCTACTTTCCTTGGCAGTAGAGTAAACAACTTTTCTGTGCATATAGAAAACAATTGATCCACCGCGACTCCGCTCCAATACAACATGATAGCACTTAAGAATTGCGTGTTTATTTATACATACTTTAAAATTACAATACGTATAATTTATATCTATGTTATGTGGGATATCATTATTAACGTAATTGTTAATTATATCTGCCGTTATAAAGAATAAATGTCTCTCGGGACTTATATATCGAAAAAAAAAAAAAAAATTAATTAAGTATTTTGGGAACGCTGCTTCGATGTAAAGCTTTGGAGGTTTATACACCATAATAATCATTTCTGTTGGCATTAAATAAATAAATATGGACTTATATAATGAGTACAGTATAGGTTCTAGAACTTGATTACCTGTAATTACTCTGTCACGGTGATATTCTTTCTCATAAGTTCTCTGTTTTCATTTACAGTTTATTTTAGTTTTTATTGATTGATTATATGAAATTTACTACTTAATATCTATCAAATGCAGCGCACTGATATTTAAGCCACGCTGAATGATCTTACTATATTTTGAATTACACATTAGTAAAATCATTGCATTATTAGCATCATTTTAAAGGAGTATTCTAATAAACATTTTCGTCAAAGAAGTATTTTGCATTAAAAACAAAAAGAAAAAAGACTTGTAATAACAAAAGCCACTCTTTTTGTTGACGTTACTTGAATGGCTGACGAGACCCTTTTGTTCCACTGATTATTACGATTGTTTATCAATATTACTGTCCTGTTTTGTATGAGTAATGTATGTAAATTATTGAACAACTGTATTTATTAAAAAACTCCAGCTAAAAACGTATCGATCACATAGTTAGGAATACGTTTGCTTCGCTTGATTGGTTCCAGCTAAGAACGTATCGATCACATATTTATGGGATACGTCTTCTTTGCTCGATTGCTCGTATCGCTTTTTAAGATGCCTTCAAATTTAATGAAATGTTAGACATATTATATTGAAAATATTTAAATTTGGATCTTGCTATTTGTCGATGTATATATGTTATATAAACAGAATTTACTTGCTGTAAAAAAGGCGTCTTATGAACTCAAAAATTACCACACTACCGTACCAAACCGTATAATTAATCGCTCAGCAACTGCGTGTAAGAGATTTTATGTGCAATTTTGTGTAAAAATAGATATTAAACTGTAATTTTACACATACAATGTTTAACCACAGGCAAAACATTCTGTGTTATTCCCAGATTTTGTTGCGTTGGAACCAAAAGTACCTAGCTAGTAGCTATGTAGACAGCTGGATCGATCGTCTGGCGCTGCGTAATTTACCTGAGTTTGTGATCAATAATGCCACTGAAATTACTTGATATTCTAAGAAGTTACCTAGTGTCTATCATCAAAACATTAGATTCCTAGAAGCTACGAAAGCTACCTAATTATATCTTGATTCACTTGAAAAAAAAACATTTGTAATGCTATTAAAGTCAATTCTGTAAATCTTTTTCTTAATATTATTATACCCTTAATATATTTTACTACACTATCCCGCCCTTTAAATGGAAACAAATCCTTACCAGCACAGTTGCTTTACGGTAACATCACTGGTACAGAGGTAACTAAGCAAAAAGCTTTATTTTTTATGTCTTATACACAGGCATTTTTGTCTGCAAATAAAATTTCTCTTTATGTTCGCTTCGTCTTCCTACAATTTTAAGTCTGAAGAAAGATAATCCTCGGCGTACACTTTAATCCGCTCTCAGTAAAATCTCTGAAATTGCAAACTATAATGCACACGTATTATGGAAGGACACACTATAAGAATAACGACTATTTCTTATATATACAGATACTTTATCTGCGGACAAAATGTTGAAATGAATGAATTAATATTTATTTCAAAACACTAGTAATTGCAAATTGCAATCCTTAAATTGCATTACAAATATTAAACAATATTTATTTTTACATGATCATGTAAATGTTATTTTGCAAGTACAATAGATATTTTAACTAAAATTGTAGCAGATACGTACGTTTATAAAGACTTCAAAGCTTACTTTTTACTTTTTTTTAGAACACTATTCTTTTTATAACTGTAAATAATTTGCAGTTATTTCAAATCGTTTACAGAATAAGAACAATTATTAATTTGTTAGTTTTTTTTTTAAGTGTGCGTAGGTCAGACTTATAATCGTCAGCCCTTGCCAGGTCTTTAAGCTCATATAATTAATGAACGCCCCCATATCCTCAACAGGATGAGTATTGCTGCTTCACGCTGAAAATAGATAAGACGCTGGTACCTACGGAGATGAATTACAAAATTCCACTACCTAGTACACTGTACATATTCATATAACTTTTGCCTACGACTTTGTACCCGTGGATTTTGGAAATAGGAACAGCATTGAAAGACATTTGGATGGCGTATT